GTGTGTGTGTGTGACCTCACCTGGGCCCCTGACACACCCAGACGGGACCGGGGCCAGCAGATGCTGGGGCTGAGGTAAACATTTTGAGGTGCTTTTGTCAACAGAGCCTCAGCCCTGTCTGCATGCCTGCAGCCCTTCTGCTTGCAGAAGCCCAGAGAGGGCTGGCTTACTTCCACTGCGAAGACTCAGTTTTGTCTCCAAAAGTGGAGCCTGACCCTTTCAGCTCTCCGCTCCCAGTGCCTCTCGGGGAGGAAGGTGGTGCTGTCCTGACCTCACTGGGCTCAGGGTGGTTATGCAACCCGCTCCAGGCCCCGGGAGAGGGCCAGGCCTGCCCATGTTCTCTGAGGGTTGTGGCGAAGATGGCAGGGCAAGAGGCCCAGTCCTTGGGCTGGATTCCCTTCCTGTGGTCTGGGGTGAAGGGAGAGGAGGATGCTTGCTGGCTCCTCCTGAGAAGCTTTTGGGCTCAACTGATTCTCCCAGGACCGCTGGCATGTCAGAGGCCCCTCTCCCCACATTCAGCCTATGCCCCTTTTCTCCTTCATTCTTATTCACTCCAGACCATCTCATCCCCCAACAACTCTGATGACCCCTGGCTCCCAACCCATGCCTTCCTGCTAAGCAGTGGATGTATAGCCAGCGTCTCATGGTCAGCACGGAGCCGAGGAGTAGGACTGCAGGCCCTGGGGACACACCACGGCTCTGAAACAAGTTTTCAGTCACTCTGTGCCTCGGTTTTCTCAGCTGTAAATGAGGGTGATAACGGTGATAACAGTACTTTCTCAAAGTGTCCGTGTGAGGATTAAATGAAGTAATTCATCCACAGCTCCTAGTTCACTTCCTAGCACCTCTTACTGTTGTTTCTCCTCTTTACCTTCCTCTCAAGCCCACCCTGGCTCCTGTCTTCCTCGTCCTGATGGTTGATTCCGGGTTACCCAAGGCATCTCGGCCTCAGCCCATCCTCCTGCACCCAGTCTCCTCCACGTCCCAGTGGCTCACCTCCCCTCTCTCTGTTCCTGCTGCCACCATTTTGGTTTCAGACCTCTTCACCTCTCTTTTCTTCCACTAGGCTGCCAGCTGGGCCTCTTACCTCCAATCTCACTCCTTCCAGCCTCACAGCCTCATGACACAAGCCGCAGTCGCGCTCTGTCAGCTCCAAGGCCCAGTCCACCCTCCGAGGTGTGCACAGCCTGGCAGCTTCTGGCCCTGCCCACCTTCCTGGCTTCGTTTCAGCACATGCTCCTCGGTAGCAGGCATGCCACCCCGGCCCGTGCTTCCACATCTCTGCCTCTTCCTCTGGGTCCCGCTGCCTGGAACACCTCCTGGTGTTCTTCCGAATCTGCAGAACGCCTGCTTTTTCACAATCATATTAGTAAATACATTTATAGAACCTCATAGTAGACACTGTTCTCAACATGCTTTACATGTATTAATTTATTTCATCTTTTCAACAACCTTAGGAAGTAGATGCCATTTCCAGAATGAGGAAACCGAGTCAGAGAGAGGTTAATAAATTGCCTGAGCTCACAGAACTAGTAACTGCGAGAAGCTGGGTGTAATCCCATGCAGCCAGCCGTAGAACCTGGGCCTGACCACTGTACCACCTTCACGATTCTCATGGCACTGCTCTCCCTGGAAGCCCCTCTGCCCCCGCCAGTCTCTCCTGGCTCAGTTAGGCGACTACTGTTCCTTTGTCACAGCGTTGTTCACAATGCTTTCCTGTGAGCCTCTGAAGAGCAAGGACCATGCTCTGTTCAGTTCCACATCCCTGTTGCCCACCGTCCTGGGCACTTGGTGGCCCATATTATTAAATAAACACCAAAGAGCCGTAAGTAAAGTATCACCTTCTCGTTTTCACCAAAGTTTGGCCCTTGCTTTCCATGACTTATTTGGGACTTGCCTCCTCACCCACTTTCTTTCTCTTCTTTTGCTCAGAGTGTTCCTTCCCCTGCCCAAGGCCTTGGTGTGTGTGGTCAGCTTTTAGGTCTGCTGATGGCCCAGGAGTCACATGGAGCCAGCAGACTCAAGGGAAGCCCTGGTTCTCTCTGCTTTGGGAGAAGGAGACTTGGCGGACTTGGGTCAGATCATGCCAAGCAGGAAGCGGGACGGAGTGAAGATGGGGGCTGGGGGCAGGGGACACAGACCAGCAGTAGGTCCTGTAAGGACGTCCTCCTGCTGCCACGGCCGCCTTCTCCCCCGTTCAAATGACAGAGTAGTAAGGAATCCAGATGCAGAAGTCAGGGGGCCAGCCTGCTCCCACGTGACTGTAATCAAGGAATCCATATACAGAAGAAAGGAAATGTCTTTCTTGCAAAGTATTCATTCTGAAACCAAAACTGTGCATCAGGGCCCAGGCGAGGCATCTTGAAGCCGATGTAAAGTTCCCACAGCACCCAGAAGCTTCCTTCAGTCTGAGAGTCTGTGCTTCTGGGGTGGCTGACAACATGACGCTGAGACTGAAGAAGTTCCTCCTGTGTGCCAGGCACTGGGCTGGGCACTCTTCACACTTACTAGTCCCATGCCATCCTCACGGAGACTCTCGGAGCCGACGCCTGCCCTGTGTGCAAGGCGGAAACTGAGTCAACAATTGGTTTGCCCACCCCAGGTGTCCATTACCCAGGAAATCTGGTGGCTTGGATGCCAGCCACTCAAGATTTTAGACATGTCTCTTCAGTTTGTTCTGTCAGTTGAATGCCCACCTTGCCCTTTGTCTCTCAGCTCCTGGGAGGAAATGAGGTCTGTGAGCTTTGGCTCTTCCTCCAGGAGGCCTCCCATCCTTAAACATGTGTTTTTTCCCAGATGCTCCTTTCAACCTCTATCCCATGCTTCCTGTGGAAGCTGAAGCTCAGAGAAGGCTTCAGTGCGCTCTTGGCTACCTAGATAGAGTCATTTTGCTTGTGCATGTATGCTAAGTCGCTTCAGTCATGTCTGACTCTTTGCGACCCCCTGGACAGTAGCCCGCCAGGCTCCTCTGTCCATAGCATTCTCCAGGCAAGAATACTAGAGTGGGTTACTCTGTCCTCCAGGAGATCTTCCTGACCAGGGATCGAACCCACGTCTCTTACTTCTCCTGTGTTGGCAGGTGGGTTTGTTTTGTTTTGTCTTGTTTTTTAACTACTAGCACCACCTGGGAAGCAATAGGTTGTGTATGCATCCAAATGGCTGTGTCCAAATGTGAAGTCACTGGTTGTTTTTAAGTTACCAAATAACATGTCCCTCTCTCAGTCATCTCTCCCTTTGTTTGCACCTCATCTGTCCTCCCTGTATCTTGATCCTCACCCCATCCCTGACTTCCTCAGCATTCCTCAGTCCCCGCTTGACTCTCAGATCTCAGAGGATCCTGTAAGGGGTCAGGGAGAGAAGAGAGCATTTGCACATTACTTTGTATTTTTTCCAAATGCAAAAAGTTTAGGTTCATGTTGCTGTATTGGTTTTAGGTATTACTAAAATGTCCCTAACAAGGCTCTCTTACAGTCTTGAACCTTGGGGATTTCCCTGGAGGTGTCCTTATAGATGGAGGGACTCTCTGGTCACAGCCGGGCCTGATCAGAGATCAGGCTAGGCCACAGGTTGGCTGGGAAGTCAGTGTTCTCAGCCCCTGGGCCTGCTGGCTCCCTGGCTGACAACGAGAAGGGCGGGAGTGGTGCCAAGAAACCCATAGGACACAGAGAAGGGCTCAGTGCTCAGGCGGACAGGCCACCCCGGGGCCCAAGTGGGGCCCTCGGGGCAAGTTCAGCCATTTCTGGTGGTAGCTGGAGGGAAAGCACTCAGTGAGCCAGGCAGGCTTTGCACCCAGGCCACTGAGCTCCAGCTTTGCCCCTTACTGCCTGGATGACCTGGGACCAGCTCCTCAACCACACTGGGGCTGTGTCCTCGTTCATAAAGGAGAGTGGTAACACCTTTAAGTTTGCTGCGAGGGCTAAACACCAGTACAATGCTGCAGCTGTTTGCCCTTCAGGTCTCATAATTCCATTGACCTGTGTTACCTGCACACTTATGCTCGTTTCCTAGTATTTCATCTTCCTTCACCCCAGACCTAACAGGACTGGCCTGAGAACATAGAAAAGTAATAACTGCGTTTCATATTTCCAAAAGGACTTTCTCTATAACAGTGGTGTTGCCTGGGAACAGGGATGGAAGAAGGGAGGGATTATATATATATTTTAAAAACTTTTTATTTTGTACTGTGTATAGCCAGTGAACAAGGCTGTAATAGTTTCAGGTGAGCAGCGAAGGGACTCAGTAACATTGAGCCGAGTTCCATGTGGTATACATTTGGTTATCCATTTTAAATATAGCAATGTGTACATGTCCATCCCAAAGAAGGGAGGGGTTATAAAGGGCACAAGGAAACTTTTGGGGTGACAGAAACATTCACGGTCTTGATTGTGGTGACGGTTTGTAGGTGTACGTCAAAACCAGTTCACTTGTACACTTTAAATATGTGCAGTTTATTGTACTTCACTGATACAATTTAGGGAGATGATTAAAAAGATACCTTAAATGAGCACAAAGGAGGAAAATATGCTTTAATGCTACTTTCACATTTCATTGAACTACAACAATATTAAAAAAAAATAAAAGCTTTGTCAGGGGGCAACTCAATAGAACATCACAGTTTATTTGTGAGCTGGGCTATTATGTGCTAAACTCATAATCATTGCAGAACTGTGCTTATGCTTATATTCCTCATGCCTAGCCCAGAGCAGTGTGCCTAGTAAGCATGCAACAAGATTGATGGTTGACTGATGGTTGAATGAATGGCTGTGAAAACTAAGATTCAGCTGAAAGAAGTGACTGGGCATACAACCAGCTCTTCTATATCAAGCCTACTTCAAAGCAGAATATTATCAGTAGTTCTCTCCTGTGTCCCCCGTCTCTGCTCTGCCCAGGGTGCCTGCCATGCAGGACCCTTGGTGATGGCCTTCCCTCCCTGCCTTGTCACTTGCACCCTGCCCCAGAAAACCTGCTTTTCCTGTATGTATTTCCTGGGGCCTTAGCTGCTATCTGACAGCTTCATCTGCACACAGGTGGAAGGGTGACGTGGCCTCCCGGAGCATGTATTTTCCATTCTGAAGGAATGCAAACCACGAGTGTCTTGGTCTCCTCATCTGCATGACAAGGAAGTGGACCTGATGGCCTCTGAAAGCCTGCCCTTTGAGGCACGCTGTGGCGCTGTTACTCCTGGATGCCATCGTGGGGACTGTGCCACGTTCATTTGGATTGAGTTTACATTCCGACATGATACAAAATTCAGATGGTACAATAAGGTAATGCTCCTCCCACCCCTGTGGTTCTGTCCCATGGTGCCGGGTCACAGAGGTGACCACCCCTGCCAGTTCTTCATGTGTCTTCAAGGGACATTCCAGCATATATTAAATCTAGAATGAGGCCTGAGGACGTGGGCCGGGTTGGGTTGACATTCATTTGTTTCTAATGCTGAAATGCTACTATTTAGATGTCCCATAATTTATCCAAACATTTTCCAACCCCTGATCTGTAGGCTTGAAAATATTGCTGCACTATATATCCTTGTGCATGTATCTTTGTACACAAGTGGAAGTGTAACTGTAAAAACACTAAAAGTAGAATTATTGGTTCAAAAGATAAATATGGCATTTCACTGTATAGATATGACTAGATTACCTTTCAAAGATATTTACAACTCTACTTCCATCCACAGTACAGAGTGCTCATCTTCCCACATGTCTGTACCAATAATATTTTCCCAATATCCAGGCAATAAAATTTTATTGAGGTATAAAGTTAATGTAGAAAAGCACACAAATTATAACTGTATAGTTAATTATCCCAAAGTGAAACTGCTTTCAAGGTCAGAAACAGAACATTAGTAGCATCCCAGAAAGCCCCACTCTTGTGCTTTTTTGTCCACTAGTGTTCTTCCCAAAGGTGACCAATATCTAACTTTTAATACCATAGGTTAGTTTTACCTTTACCAAACTTTTGCATGGAATAATATGCTTTGTAATCTGTTCCTTCTGGTTTCTAACACCCAGCATTTGTGAAATTCATCCATGTTCCTGCATGTGGCGGTAGTTCATTTTTGTTACTGTTCCATATTCCATATTTTAAATATATTGTGCTTTGTTGCTCAGTCGTGTCCAACTCTTTGTGATCCCATGGACTGCAGCCCACCAGGCTCCTGTGTCCTTGGGGTTTCTCCAGGCAAGAATACTGGAGTGGGTTGCCATGCCCTCCTCCGTGGGATCTTCCCAACCCAGGGATCAAACCCAGGTCTCCCACGTTGCAGGCAGATTCTTTACCGACTTAGCCACCAGGGAAGCCCAAGAATACTGGAGTGGGTAGCCTGTCCCTTTTCCAGGGGATCTTCTGACCCAGGAATCGAACCAGCCAGCTGAGCTACCAGGGAAGCCTCTTGCTACAACTTATTTACTCTTTCTTATATTTGGGAATGATAGTCGGGTTATTTTCATCTGGGGCCGTGGGAAATCATGCTGCCATGTATATTCTTAAACCTGTCTTGCAGGACAAATGAACTTATTTCTCCTGGGTAATTCTATGAGAATAGTTGAAGAGTATGCTTACATTCAGCTCCCCTAAGTGGCTGTATCAATTTACCAACAGCCAGCCAAGAGAGCCATCTTGGGCTTCAGCTCAGCTGTGCAAAGCAGTATGCCTTTCCAACTTAGTTATGGTGAGATTGGGGGGAATGGCTGGTAAAGGCAGACATTTTTATCTTGTTAGCACTAGCTTATGCCTTAAAACATGACAGAAAGTTAAATATACTTTTTATTTATTAATTTATTTATTTTTTATTTTATTATTTATTTTAGTTTAAATTTATTTTAAATAAATTTATTTATTTTTATTTTAAATTTATTTTAAATAAATTTATTTATTTTTATTTATTTATTTATTTTTTTTACTACACTCTGGTTTATTTACTTCCACCAGAATTGTATGAGAATGGCAGTTGCTTCATGTCCTCTCCAGAGCTTAGTGTTGACAGCTTTTTTCAACTTTAGCTATTGTGGTGGGTGTGTAAGTGGCTTCTTATTAGGGTTTTTTTTTTCCATTTATTTTTATTAGTTGGAGGCTAATTACTTTACAATATTGTAGTGGGTTTTGCCATACATTGACATGAATCAGCCATGGATTCACATGTGTGCCCCATCCCGATCCCTGCTCCTGCCTCCCTCTCCATCCCATCCCTCTGGGTCTTCCCAGTGCACCAGCCCTGAGCACTTGTCTCGTGCATCCAACCTGGGCTGGTGATCTGTTTCACCCTTGATAGTATACATTAGGTTTTTATTTCATTCTCCCGAATTTGAGCTCCATTTTAGATTTTCTTTGGCCATGAAAACATTTGTGAAGTGTCTATCCAAGTCTTTTGTTCATTTTTCTATTGTTTGCAAAATTGATCTGAGGAGTTCTTTCTGTATCCAAGACATGAGTGTTTGGGTCAGATGTAAATATTGCAGATATTGGCTCCCACTCTATGGATGGCCTTTTCATGGACAAGATGTCTTGCCTGCTTTGAGGTCATAAAGTAGGTCATTACCTTCTAGAAGCTTTATTTATCTTCTACATTTAAATCTATATTTTATCTATGAAAAATTTTAATTTGGAGTGAAGTAGGAGTTAAGAATGTAATTCCCCTCTGCCCCTGTGGGTATCTTATTAACTTGGTACATTTGTTGAAAAGACTGTTCTTTCCTCTTTGGTCTGCAGTGTTAACTTTCATCATGCAGTGAGTGTCTAGATATGAGAGACTCAATTTCTGTACTGTCTTTTCTGTTTTATTTGTCTATTTGTATGTCCTTACATCATACCATACTGTCATAATTTTTTGTGATTTTAAAATAAGTTTTGATATTGGACAGTATAAGTCTTCCAATTTTGTTCCTCAGTATTGTTTTTTGATACTCTTGGTCTTAGAATTTCCACATAAATTTCAAAATATGTTTTTTAGACTATAAACACATACACACACAAACTAAATTCTAGTATTTTCATTGGGATTGCATTTGATATACAACTAAATTTGATGAAAATTGACATCTTAGATATATTGACTCTTCCAATCCATGAACATGGGATAACCCTTAATTTATTTAAGTATTTTATCTTTTCAATATTTTTTGAGGTTTTATATTTAGCACTCATGTACATCTTTTATATCTTCATGGACATTTTGTTTTTAATTGATTTAGCTCATATTACCACTTAAAAATATAATTTTCCAGTTATTGATAAATAAGAATAGTTGATTTTTGTATATATACTGTTGAATTCTGTAATCTTGCTGAATTCACTAATAAACCGTAATGGTTTATCTAAAGATGTATTTGTGTTTTTATTCATATGATCATGTAGACTGTAAATAGTTACAGGGTTTTCTTCTGCTTTTTCTTCCTAATCCTCATAACTTTTATTTACTTTTCTTTTTTAATGATTTTATTTATCTGTTGATTTATTTTTGGCTGTGCTGGTACTTTGTCACTGCATGGGCTATTCTCTAGTTGGGGGTGCGTGGAGGTTACTCTCTAGTTGCACTGCACAGGCTTCTCATCATGGTGGCTTCTCTTGTTGTAGAGCAGGGGCTTCTAGAGTGGGCAGGCTTCAAAAGTTGTGGCTCATGGGCTCATTCAGTAAAGAATCTCCCTGCAATGCAGGAGACCTCGGTTCAGTTCCTGGACTGGGAAGATCCCCTGGAGAAGGGAATGGTTACTCGCTCCAGTATTCTTGCCTGGAGAATTCCATGGACAGAGGAGCCTGGCAGGCTACAGTCCATGGGGTCACAAAGATTCGGACATGACTGAGCAGCTAAATATAAACATATATGGACTCATATATGTTTATGTAGTAACATATATGTTTATGTAGTTCTGGCTCCCAGGCTCCAGAGCACAGGCTCAATAGTTGTGGAGCATGGGCTTAGCTGCTCTGCGGCATGTAGAATCTTCCTGCACCAGGGATTGAACTGGTGTGTCCTGCATTGGCAGGCAGATTCTTTACCACGGAGCCACCAGTTGTTGTTCAGTTGCTCAGTAGTGTCCGACTCTTTGCAACCCCATGGACTGCAACATGCCAGGCTTCCCTGTTCTTCACCATCTCCCAGCCACTTGCTCAAACTCCTGTCCATTGAATCAGTGATGCCATCCAACCATCTCATCCTCTGTCATCCCCTTATCCTCCTGCCCTCAATCTTTCTCAGCATCAGAATCTTGTCCAGTGAGTCAGCTCTTCATATCAGGTGGCCAGAGTATTGGAGCTTCAGTGTCAGCATCAGTCCTTCTAATGAATATTCAGGATTGGTTTCCTTTAGGATTGACTGGTTTGATCTTCTTGCAGTCCAAGGGACTCTCAAGAGTCTTCTCCAGCACCACAGTTCAAAAGCATCAATTTTTCGGCACTCAGCCTTCTTTATGGTCCAACTCTTACATTCATACGTGACAAATAGAAAAACCACAGTTTTGACTATATGGACATTTATTGGCAAAGTACTGTCTCTGCTTTTTAATACACTGTCTAGGTTTGTCGTAGCTTTTTTCCCAAGGAGCAAGCATCTTTTAATTTTATGACCACTGTCACCATCTGCAGTAATTTTGGAGCCCAAGAAAATAGTCTGTCACTGTTTGCATTGTTTCCCCATCTATTTGCCATGAAGTGATAGGACCAGATGCCATGATCTTCATTTCTGAATGTTGAGTTTTAGCCAGCTTTTTCACTCTCCTCTTTCACCTTCATGAAGAGGCTCTTTAGTTCCTCTTCACTTTCTGCCATCAGGAGATTAATACCTGAGGTTATTAATATTTCTCCTGGCAATCTTGATTTCAGCTTGTGCTTCATCCAGCCTGGCATTTCACATGATGTATACTGCATAAAAGTTAAATAAACAGGGTGACGATATGCAGACTTGACGTACTCTTTTCCCAATTTGGAACCAGTTGGTTGTTCCATGTCCAGTTCTAACTGTTGCTTCTTGACCTGCATACAAATTTCTTAGGAGGCAGGTCAGGTGGTCTGGTATTCCCGTCTCTTCAAGAATTTTCCAGTTTGTTGAGATCCACACAGTCAAAGCCTTTAGTGTAATCAATGAAGCAGAAGTAGATGTTTTTCTGCAATTCTCTTGGTTTTTCTATGATCCAGCAGATGTTGGCAATTTGATCTTGGGTTCCTCTGCCTTTTCTAAATCCAGCTTGAATATCTGGAAGTTCTCAGTTCACATACTGTTGAAGCCTAGCTTGGAGAATTTTGAGTATAACTTTGCTAGCATGTGAAATGAGTGCAGTTGTGCGGTAGTTTGAACATTTTTTGGCATTGCCTTTCTTTGGGATTGGAATGAAAACCGACCTTTTCCAGTCCTGTGGTCACTGCTGAGTTTTCC